TGCCCTCTCTTGTAAGATAATTTCAATGCATTTAACTAAATGACACCCCATACAATATCACTGTCTTTTAGTAGATAACATTGAGATGCTATCAAACTCCTTTTTTTGGGAAAAAAGACACAGGTTTACGATTCCAACTATAAAAGAAACTGCAACTACAAGGAGATAAACAAATGTATTTATAATTTTAAATTACAACACAGCTATTATTGCACTTGTAATATTCCTCAAATCAAACAATCTCGATATAATTGCCATGCTCTCTGTGATCTTGTGTCTGGTTGGGCTCATATCACAACATCAGCAAGACCCAAGTTGTACCTGAAGAAACCGCGAAGAATTTCGAAGAAGAACAGGTTTTGGAGCTCAGGAGAGTGTTTTGGAGTTTGGCGGTCGACCGCAGCACAAGGCCGGTCGACCGCATACGTGCACAAACCTGAGATTTGGTTCAGGACTTGACGTGGTCGACCGCCGGGATCGACCGCGATACCTTGTAATGTTTTTTGACTCTCTGTCGTTTGATCACGGTCGACCGCGAGCTTTTGGCAGTCGACCGCGTAGCGGGTATGTGCCTGTTTTGTGTTTCCTGTTCTTATTGGTTTTGGTGTTTGTATAAATACCAATACACGTTCTAGGGTTTCTTAAGGCAAGAGTTTGGGATATTTGGAGCACAGAAAAGAGGTATTTTCTGAGCTATTTGATTAGGGTTTATTTTGAGAGATTAAGAGCTTTGTTGGTGAGATTAATTTGTTCCTTCGAGTGATTTGTAATCTCAAGTTGTACTCTTCTTCTCTATTAGTGAAAACTCCATCCCCTTCTTGCCCCGTGGACGTAGGTAATTGCTGAACCACGTTAAAATTGGTGTTTTATTTGTGCATTGATTTTTGGTTAGTTTTGGCCCTCTTTGATCGCCGTTTGGTTTGGTTCATCGACACGGTTTCAACAACAATTGGTATTTTACCACAACAATTGGTATCAGATCTCAGGCTACGCTTGGGCTATTTGGAGGAGTAGATCGATTTGGAAAACTCGTCTAGGATTTCAGTTGGTGAGAAAGGTGGGATCTTTTTGGTAAAGCTTCTTTCTTTTCTCAGTTTTGGATCTATTCTTCGTTTGTTTCCGCATTGGTTGTTGGTGTGTTGAGGATTATTGCCGAGAAAGAAGGAGTTAATGGTGGTTCTTCAGGTGTGAAGACTGTCCAAAGTTTGAGTATCCACTCGATGAAGATTGATGTGGAGAAGTTCAATGGCACTAATAATTTTAGACTTTGGCGATGCAAAATCTTGGATGTGCTCAATGCGCAGAATTTGAAAGATACGTTGGAGTTGGACGGGAAACCGGACGACATTGATGAGAAGGTTTAGAAAAAGATGAATCAGAAAGATACGTTGGAGTTGGACGGGAAACCGGACGACATTGATGAGAAGGTTTAGAAAAAGATGAATCAGACAGCGTGTGGTGTGATTAGGTCTTGTCTCACTCAAGATCTAAAATATGATGTGATGAATAAGACTTCAACTAAGAAGATTTGGGAAGTCCTAGAGAGCAAGTATTTGACGAAGAGCGTTGGAAGTTTTATCGTTCCAATTGAAGAAGGGGACATCCATTAGTGATCACATGAACAACTACACGAAGTTTCTTGTAGATTTGACGAATGTAGATGTCATTGTTGAAGATGAGGACAAGGCGTTGCTATTGTTGAGTTCCTTACCCGACGAGGAATATGAGACGTTTGTCCTTATTCTTATTAATGAGAAAGCATCTCTTTCATATAGTGAGGTCACCGCTGTATTAGTGAATTACCAACTTAGGAAGAAAGACAAGGAGACTTTTATTGAGCCGGTAGCGGGGGCATTGGTTGCAAGAGCAAAGGGTCCAAACCGAGGTAGAAGGTCACAATCTAGAGGGGCACATCTTGGAATTTATAGGAATCAGTATGCTTTTTGTAAAGAAGATAGACATTGGAAAGCTGAATGACCAAAGTTGAATGATCAAGCCGGAAAGAATAAGGGGAAAGCTATTCAGGCTTCAGAGGTGAATGTTGTCAAGGCTAGTGGCAACGATTCGGATTCGGATTCTTCGGACTACTCATTATCTGCACTGCCATCAGTTTGTATTGCCTACTCTACAGAGTGGATGTTGGACTCGGGTGCTACATACCATATTTACCGTAGGAGGGATTGGTTCTCCAGCTTTCAGGAATTGGAAAGAGGGGATTTCGTGCTTATGGGTAATGATCATGAATGTCCTATTGGTGGTATTGACACCGTTCGGATTAGGATGAGTGACGGAGTGATTCGGGAGTTGGTTAGAGTGAGGTACGTTCCTCAGTTGAAGAAGAACATCATTTTACTTGGAGCTTTGGAGACAGCAGGCTATAGGGTGACCTTGGTGGATGCACGTTTGAAGGTTACAATTGGGTCCATGATTATGATGAAGGGCGTTAGAAGGAGTAACTTATACTATTTGCTTGGGAGCACGGTGATTGATAGAGCTCTGACGACTTATTGGTTTTGACTAGATTGTGGCATAGTTTGGTGATGGGATATTTGATTGGTGATGCCGTGCATAGGTTATTAAGGAGTGCTTTGACTTGCATATGGAAGTCCTTTGAGCACATTGGGATGAGCAAGATCGTGGTGGAGTTTGGCACTTCTATCCATCGAGCGAGAGGTCTTTTAGGAGGTGTTCAGTCAGGCATTTAGGGGCCTTTCAAGGAGGCATCATTGGGAGGTAATCGTTTTGTAGTTTCCGTAGTTGGTGATTGTTTTAGGCATTATTGGGTCACGATCAGTTCTCATTGGTGTAAAGTCCTAGAAGTCAACAACAATTGGAAGAAGTGTATTGGCAGAAAGGTAACTCGTTGTTCTAGATTTGGTAGGGGTCCTTTCTTGCGTTTGTGTCGAGCTCATGACAACTTGAAACACTTCATTGATGTGGAGATTTTGGGGCGACGAGATGAGATGACAGTTTTGATGGGTCGTTCCTTTTTGGAGGAGGATCGGCGTTAGTTGTCGAGCATTGGTTCTGGTTCTGGAGTTTCGACATATTTGGGTCATCTTAGTCATAGGTCGCCAACTGCTGCATTAGGAGTTATTGGATCTGGTGGAGCTGCTTCAGATTTTGATTGGCGTCGAATATTTGGTTACCCAGCATTTGGTCACATCAAGGATGTGAGATTTGATCCGATTGCGCGTTTGGGATTCGGAGGCTCATTTGATTATCGTTTGGGAGCTTCTGATTTTGTTCTGAGCAGGAATGTCACTTTTGACTCTCAGGAGGTGGAGAGTGTTGATCAGGTCATTTGGATATCACAGCAGGTGGAGGGTGATGCTACTTCACGTTGGGTGGATCTTATTCCACATACTCCATATCATACTACGTCATTTGGGATTCCAGCTGAGATGGCACAAGTTAGGGATTATTTGATTTTGGATGCAGATGATGGATTGGTTTTGGATTCGGTTGCAGCTGGTGGACATGTTTTGGATACGACCATTGGTTCACCTCAGATGGAGGTGTTTGATTTGTATCAGTTTGGGGCCGCTATCAGTTGCAGATCCGTTGGCGATATTAGGGAAGAGTTGCAGATTTTTCTATTTGATTGAGGGCCTTTGGATGCCGTTCTGGTGAACTACGTGAAGGCTTGATTCCTTAGGCAAGAGGATACGTAGGCAGTCTTTATGATGCAGCCGATTTGGTGAGTAGATACCGACGTTTGGGTGAGTGTTCGTACTCCCGTTTGGGTCTTGACTTATTAAGGATTGAGAAGCAACAAGTGAGACATTTGGCTTAGTTGGCGTCGGCTCAGTTTTGGAAGAAACTTCACCGATGTAGAGAATTGAAGAAACCGCAAAGAATTTCGAAGAAGAACATGTTTTGGAGCTCAGGAGAGTGTTTTGGAGTTTAGTGGTCGACCGCGGCACAAGGCCGGTCGACCGCATACGTGCACAAACCTGAGATTTGGTTCAGGACTTGGCGCGATCGACCGCCGCGGTCGATCGCGATACCCTATAATGTTTTTTTGACTCTTTGTCGTTTGATCGCGGTCGACCGCGAGCTTTTGGCGGTCGACCGTGTAGCGGGTATGTGCTTGTTTTGTGTTTCACGTTCTTATTGGGTTTTGGTGTTTGTATAAATACCAATACACGTTCTAGGATTTCTTAAGATAAGAGTTTGGGATATTTGGAGCACAGAAAAAAGGTATTTTCTGAGCTATTTGATTAGGGTTTATTTTGAGAGATTAAGAGCTTTGTTGGTGAGATTAGTTTGTTCCTTCGAGTGATTTGTAATCTCAAGTTGTACTCTTCTTCTCTATTAGTGAAAATCACATCCCCTTCTTGCCCCGTGGACGTAGACAATTACCAAACCATTTTAAAATTGGTGTTTTGTTTGTGCATTAATTTTTGGTTGGTTTTGGCCCTCTTTGATCGGCGTTTGGTTTGGTTTCTCGACACGGTTTTCAACAACAATTGGTATTTTATCACAACAGTACCCTATCTCCAATGACAATTGACAAGTGCACTTAGCCTTGGAGGAAAAAATACACAAAAGCAAGATTCATAAAATCAAGGGTTAATTGCAGATAGACCCTCGGTACTATCGCCCAACTGTGGATAGAGCCTATGTAATCCCATTATTGCAAATAAACCCCTTGCGTGAATTTATTTTTATTTTTATTTTTTGACTCACATCGACCTCCTTAGGGCTAAAGAGTAAAGAAATTTAACTCTAGGGGTCTATCCGCACTTGACCAATAGTACAAAGGGTCTATCTTCAAGATTGCAACAATAGAACTGTAAGGGGTTTATCCGCAATTGGGAGATAGTATAGGGGATCAACCCCACAAATAATTTTAAAATAAAAATGCCTTCAAATGTGAGAACATTACCAACATCAAAATACATTACTAGTCATTTTCAAAATGAACTAAAAACTTATTCAAACTTCACCATTTGGTCGCTATGAAAAAAAAAAGACCGCATATTTTCAAGAAGTACCTTTGAAGAGCAAGTGCGGTAGCAAGCCCAGAAATACCCGCACCAACAATCACAATATCTTCATACTCCTCTTGCTTCCTCATTCTCTTCTTGCTTCTAGTTTAAATTTGACACTCTCTTTCTCTCATCAACGATCCATATTAATTTCTTGAGCTCTATCTCTTCATTGCTAGCTCCAAATATGAAAATGACAGTTTTGCATTGGTTGCTGATGGGCCCAGTGATGAATCAGCTGAGCCCATATAAATATCTTCTTCTGGATATCCAAGCAAAAAATCTCAAAAGCATCTGCAGTAGTGGCTGCTAGATTTGGAATTAACTTATCTGCCAACGATAGCCTTTGTTTCCAGTGCTGTGGTCCTGACATTTTACAGTAGAAAGCATGTCACAAAAAATGTCTTTTTTGCTTGAAAAAACTAGAGGCACAAATAAGAAGTTTATGCTTGTGGCATCTAGATAAATTTGTACATGTCAAACTCATATGTGATGTGCTTAGTTCTTGGATTAGAGTTTCTTAGCTAATATTTTTCCTACTAATATAATTTGATTATCTGTTTGTAATTGGTTACTTAATGGAGAAAATTGAAGTGACAGCCATACATATAGCCAACATAGGGATAAACTTCACAAAGCCCCTACTTTGGAGGTTGTTCCCCCACAGACCCCCTGAACTTTTGCGTTCAGGGTGTTTCGTGGGGAACCCTCCAAAGTTCAAGGGGTTTTCTGAAATTTACCCTACCTTTGAAGCCCCTGCATACTATAGCTTTATGAAATTGCATTTTTGCTTCTTAGTCCATTGTTGCTATCACTCGACAAACTCTTTTTCACAAAATTACGTCTCACTTATCCAAAAGAAGAATCACAAGAAGGATCCTTGTAAGTTACATAGTTGCATTCATCTTACAAGGTTATAATCTCCATGAGAGCCTTAAGGGAAAAAAAAGTACTTAAGAGATAAAATGCAACAAATAATATACATGACTGAAAATGATTCTAAAGACTGCCACAATCAAATTGAGTATGGCTAAACCTTCCACCAAGAAATTTATCAAAGATAACAAGATAGATTACCCTCTTTATCCATGAAGCCGTGAACAAAGATCCAATAAGATAAGATTTCATCGACAAAACTGACACCCTCGTCCTTCTTTCTGTTTCATATCTCTTCAGAGCCAGTGTGCATGAACCCGCGCGCATTTCACGCGCCAAGCATCTTGCAAGAACCACTGCGTCTTCGAGAGCGACACAGCCTCCTTGACCGATCGCTGGATCCATAGGATGCATTGCGTCGCCCGCGACTGTCACTGTTTCTTTGAAGAGGTTGCTGAGTAGCAAGTGCCAGGGTGCACGGTATCTGACACGAACCAGGGAAACTGAGCTGAGATCAGCGCGTTGCACCATTTCAATCACATCTTGTGGAGAGTTCTTGAGGGATTTCACCGTCTGGTCTCTGATGAGAGCTGGATCTTTGCGAGTTTCCAAATCTGGCAATGTGTATAATTTGTTAGTTATGTCTTGGATAAGCACTATTGTGCAAGGTGTGGCAAAAACAGTTTTTTTGGGTGTTGCATGGTTCCTTTGATCTCTAATATTCTTCAAATTAATCCCCCAAATCATTGAAATTATCGCCTCTATTAATCATTTCAAATTAGTTCCAGTTGTCAGCTACGGTTTGATTTGGGGGATTGTTCCGTTTTTGCTTAAACTTTCTGAAATGGGCTTCCAGATATAGCCCTTTGTTTAAATTATTCCAAACCCAAAGCCACTTCTTTAGTTTAAACCCTAGAACTTGATGAGTTCCGGGACTCGTTAATTTTGTGCTCTTTAAACCTGTTTCTTAAAACTTTTTGGGATTTTTTGGCAGAAGACGACTACTTGAGGGTAGAAAATATAATTCAGCATTTGTCATTAACAACTAACCCAACCTGAGCTAGCAATTTCCACGAAATAACTAACAGAGGGACTAACTTGAAATAAGTGATAAGACTTGAGGGACTAGTCAACAATTTCAATGATTTAAGGGACTAATATCAAAATGGTGAAAACTGAAGGGACCAATATCAAAAACACCCAAAACATTGATTAGATTTTGTGGAGTCTGTCTACGAGTTCAGACGTGTTTGAATTTGTCGCGCGCCTTTGCGGAAGCCTTGCACGAACTCACAACGAACCTGTGATCACGAGTCTAAGAAAGCCAAACACTTGCACAAATCCAACCAATAACGCCAAATCAATCCAAACACAGAGATATACGTGGTTCGGCAATTTGCCTACGTCCACGGGGAGAGGATGGGGAGATTTCACTAAATCAAGGAGAGTACAAAGGGTTACAATCACACAAATTCTCTCAAACTAACCCTCAACCAAAGATCTCACCTTGCTCACAATATCTCCCTCTCACAATGCTCAAAAGATTCCTCAATCTCTGATATTTAACCCTCTCAAATCGTTTCCCTATTTATACCAAAACAAAACCCCAATTAGACTGCAAATAGGAAACCTGCGTATGCAAAAAACCCGCTATAAGTCGACTTAACAGAGGGCGTAAGTCGACTTAGCAGAGGTGAAAACAGCAACAGGAGAGGACTTCGTAAGTCGACTTATCAGACATTATAAGTCGACTTGGCAGAGGCAAAAACCACAACTTCGCTGCAGATCGTAAGTCGACTCATGCACACTGGCAAGTCGACTTACCATAAGTCGACTTAGCCTTGTGCATGAGTCGACTTATGCCAGTTTTTCTGGTTTTTCTGATTCTTTTCCTGATTTCTCCACAATTCTCCACCTCGGCGAATTTTGCCAAAAAATGAGCCGACACCAAACCAAGAGCATCAATGTGTCGTCTCTCCAAATACGGCTGCACCACCATGGTTGCCTACGTACCCCCTCTCCCAAGGGATCAAGCCGCCCGTAGTTCATCCAAATGGCCGTCAACGGCCTCAACAATCACAAATATTCAACAAGTTTCTGCAATGATCAAACTTGTTGCTTGGAACCACCTTCGTGAGCATATCCGCCGGATTATCCTTCGTATGGACCTTCACAATCTCCACATCGCCATCTTCAAGAACATCTCGAACGAAGTGATAACGAACGTCAATGTGCTTCGTCCTCGCATGAAAAACCTGATTCTTCGCCAAATATATAGCACTCATGCTATCACAATGAATAGTGACGGATCGCTGCGATATACCAAGTTCTTCCAGAAGTCCTCGAAGCCAAATAGCCTCCTTCACAGCCTCCGTAACTGCCATATACTCTGCCTCCGTCGTAGACAAAGCCACCGTCGACTGTAAGGTGCATCTCCAACACACCGGCGCACGGGTCAAGGTGAACACATACCCCGTTGTAGATCGGCGCTTATCCAAATCCCCGGCATAATCCGAATCAACATAGCCAATGCATAACTGCCCACCTGTAGTGTCCCGCTCATAAACCAAACCAACATTGAGCGTACCTAGAATGTACCTCAAAATCCATCTCACGGCATCCCAATGACCCACTCCTGGATCGTGCATGTATCTCGACACCATGCTCACTGCCTGTGACAAATCCGGCCTCGTACATACCATCGCGTACATCAAGCTCCCAACTGCGCTCGCATATGGAGTCTTCGACATCAACTCACGGTCTTCAACTGACTTCGGTGAAAGGTCAGCTGAAAGCTTCAAATGGGCTCCCAACGGTACACTAACTGGCTTCGTATCCATGCTAACATGGAATCGCTGTAGAACCTTCTTCAAATAAGCCACCTGTGTCAAACAAATTCTGCCCTTCTTCTTGTCTCTGCCGATCTCCATCCCTAAAATGCGCTTCGCCTCGCCCAAGTCCTTCATCTCAAACTCATTCGAAAGCTGAATCTTCAACTCATCTATAGCTGACCTGGAACTTGAAGCAACCAACATGTCATCGACATAAAGCAATAAATAAATGTACGCACCTCCTCTCAACTTGCGAAAATACACGCAAGGATCAAACTGGCTCCGAGTGTACGAATGACCAAGCATAAAACCATCAAATCGCCTATACCACTGTCGAGGAGACTGCTTCAAACCGTATAGCGATTTCTTTAGCCTGCAAACCAACTTATCTTTCCCTGCAGCTCGGAATCCCAATGGCTGAGTCATATATATTTCTTCATCAAGATCACCATGAAGAAATGCTGTCTTCACATCCAACTGATCTAACTCCAATCCATACTGTGCCACCAAAGCTAGCAAAATCCGAATCGACGAATGCTTCACCACCGGAGAGAAAACCTCATTGTAATCAATACCTTCCTCCTGTGCATAGCCCTTCGCAACCAACCTAGCCTTGAACCTCACTGGAGTGCCCTCAATGCCCTCCTTCTTCGTGTACACCCACTTGCACCCAATCGCCTTCCGCCCCTTTGGAAGCTCTACAAGCTTCCATGTATCGTTCTTGTGAAGAGACTCCATCTCCTCCTGCATAGCCACCTGCCACGAATCAGCCTCCGAACTCTGCTCGGCCTCTCTGAATGTAGTAGGCACCATCTCATCGATACTCTCCACCGGAAGTGCATATGCAACTGTGTCGGCATACCGTGCTGGCACCCGTATGTCTCTCCTCTGTCTCCGTGCCGCAATAGAATCCTGAACCTGAGCCGTCGGTCCCTGATCCTGCTCATGAGTACCCGTATCCTCCGCATCACCGTCGTGCTCGCCTGGCGTCACCTCAGTCGGCACTCTCATGGATACTGCACTATCTGGACTCTGTGGAGCTGCATCAATCTCCACCACCTGCGAAATCTCCTCTGTCGGGTTGCTCTCCACCTGATGAGAGCTGGGAAGCTTCAAGATAGAAGCCTCATCGAATGTGACGTCCCTACTCAGCACAATCTTCTTATCAACTGGATCCCAAAGCTTGTATCCCTTGACACCACGCTTGAATCCTACAAATATGGCCTTCCTAGCTCGAGGTTCCAACTTATCAGTTCTAACATGATAATATGCAGGGCAACCAAATACCTTAAGCTGGTCATAGTCATGTGCTGTCTCTCCCGACCACATCTCCATAGGGGTCTTCCCCTCAATCGCAGATGAAGGCAGCCTGTTAATGAGGTGGCTCGCATAAGAAAGTGCCTCAGCCCAAAAGATCTTCTCCAAACCACTATGCGCCAATAAACATCGAATCTTCTCCAGCAAAGACCGATTCAATCTCTCCGCCACCCCATTCTGCTGCGGTGTATGACTAACTGTGAAGTGCCTCTCTATGCCCTCGTCTCGACATAGCTGCAGAAAGGGGTCTGAGGTATACTCGCCGCCGTTGTCGGATCGCAACGTCTTGATCTTTCTCCCAGTCTGCAGTTCCAATCTCTTCTTCCACTCCACAAACAAATCTAGGACTTCACTCTTATGCTTCATGGTGTACACCCAACATCGCCTAGAATAGTCATCAACGAACGTGACGAACCAATGTCGACCACCAAGTGATGCCGTCTTAGTGGGACCCCAAACATCTGTGTGCACGTAGTCCAAGATGCCCCTCGTCCTATGAATGGCCGTCCCGAACTTCACCTTCGTCTTCTTGCCAAGTACACAGTGCTCACAGAATTCTACTTTACCACTCTTGGCTCCCTTCAAAAGCCCCTGCTTGCACAATGCCTGCAGTGACTTTTCACCTGTATGCCCTAGCCTGTAGTGCCAAAGTCTGCTCATGTCCGCCTCTGAAATCGCCGAAGCAACCTGGCCAATCTCGGTGCTCCCCTTCAGATAATATAAATTATGATTTCGGACTCCCTTCATCACCACCAAAGATCCCTTAGTAACCTTTGCTACAGCATCCTCAAAGGTCACCCTGAATCCCTTCGCCTCCAAAGCCCCCACTGAGATAAGATTCTTCTTAAGTTGAGGAACGAATCTCACCTCCTTCAGCTCACGGACTACTCCATCGTGCATCCGAATCCTCACAGTACCTATCCCACGAACGCCACAGGATTGATCATTTCCCATGACCACAACACCCCCATCGAGTCTCTCAAATGATGAGAACCAATCTCGCCTAGGAGTCACATGATAAGTAGCGCCAGAATCAAGCATCCACTCCGATGCATCCAAATGGTTCACCTCCGGAGTAATCAAAAGAGAAAAGCTCGAATCATCGGAATCATCGCCTTTCGCAACATTCACCTCATTGGCCTTCGGGCCCTTATTCTTGCTATTCTCCTTTTCTTTGACTTTCGGGCAATCTCTTTTCCAATGTCCCTGCTCCTTGCAGAATGCACATTGATTCTTTCCAAGCTGGTGACGACCTCTTGACTTTGACCTCCCTCTGTTTCCACCTTTCTGATATGAGCTTCTACCTCTCGCCGACAAGGCCTCTCCTGAAGTACTAGCGCGGGAAGTCTCCTTATCCTTCCTCCTCAAATCATAGTTCGTCAATGCGTTAGTCACTTCACTATAAGTGATAGAAGATCTCCCGTTCAGCAACGTAAGCACGAAGGTATCATACTCCTCATCCGGTAAGGAGCCCAAAAGAATAATAGCCTTGTACTCATCTGTGATCTTCTCATCCACGTTCGCCAAGTCCGACAACAACTTAGTGTAGTTGTTCACATGAGCCGCAAGCGAGGTACCTCTGGACATCTGGAATCTGAATAACCTTCGCAGCAAGTGCAACCGGTTCTCAACACTCTTCGTAAGGTACTTATTGTTGAGAATTTCCCACATCTTCATCGCAGACGTCACCCCAATCACATCGTATTTCAGCTCCTGTTCCAAACAGGACCTGATCACCCCGCAAGCATTTCGATTCATCTTTTCCCATATCGCCTCTTCATATTTAGGTGGCCTCACATCGACCATGATGGTCTCCTCCAGATTTTGAGCATTGAGCGCATCCTGTACGTCGCTCATCCACAAACCAAAATTGATCTTGCCGTCATATTTCACAACACTAATCTTAGTGTTCTGAAAACCCACTTGAACTGTGCCTGTCATCTTGCTGCTTTCACCAATTACTTCACCCATAATCACAACTTCCAAATTGTAGAGAAAGATCCAAACTTTGAAAGAATAAGAAATTACCCAACTGAACCCTAGATTGGATTCCAAATAGAACTCCTAACCACACGAGGAAAGCGAGATCTTCAACGGCAACTTCAAACCCTAACTCCACCAAAGCCTAGAACTCCAAGAACCAAGCTTCAAACTGAATCTTCCTCCACCTAATCCAAAACCCTAGATCTGAATCTGAGCTCTGATACCACTTGTCGCGCGCCTTTGCGGAAGCCTTGCACGAACTCACAACGAACCTGTGATCACGAGTCGAAGAAAGCCAAACTCTTGCACAAATCCAACCAATAACGCCAAATCAATCCAAACACAGAGATATACGTGGTTCGGCAATTTGCCTACGTCCACGGGGAGAGGATGGGGAGATTTCACTAAATCAAGGAGAGTACAAAGGGTTACAATCACACAAATTCTCTCAAACTAACCCTCAACCAAAGATCTCACCTTGCTCACAATATCTCCCTCTCACAATGCTCAAAAGATTCCTCAATCTCTGATAAAAAACCCTCACAAATCGTTTCCCTATTTATATCAAAACAAAACCCCAATCAGACTGCAAATAGGAAACCTGCGTATGCAAAAAACCCGCTATAAGTCGACTTAACAGAGGGCGTAAGTCGACTTAGCAGAGGTGAAAACAGCAACAGGAGAGGACTTCGTAAGTCGACTTATCAGACATTATAAGTCGACTTGGCAGAGGCAAAAACCACAACTCCGCTGCAGATCGTAAGTCGACTCATGCACACTGGCAAGTCGACTTACCATAAGTCGACTTAGCCTTGTGCATGAGTCGACTTATGCCAGTTTTTCTGGTTTTTCTAATTTTTCCACAATTATCGACTTAGCAGAGGTGAAAACAGCAACAGGAGAGGACTTCGTAAGTCGACTTATCAAACATTATAAGTCGACTTGGCAGAGGCAAAAACCACAACTCCGCTGCAGATCGTAAGTCGACTCATGCACACTGGCAAGTCGACTTACCATAAGTCGACTTAGCCTTGTGCATGAGTCGACTTATGCCAGTTTTTCTGGTTTTTCTGATTTTTCCACATAAGTCGACTTAGCCTTGTGCATGAGTCGACTTATGCCAGTTTTTCTGGTTTTTCTGATTTTTCCACAGAATTCAGGTTAGATAGTATATGCTCTGAACCCATCGATTCATCTTATATTAGATTTAGTCAAAGTAGTGTCTAAATTTTAGGGTTAATTACATTGTTGGTCACTGTGTTTACTTTATAATTGGACGTGCATTCCTATATTTTAATCGGTCGGATGACTGATCATGTAATAAAATACTAACTAGACCCCAAGTCATTTGTAATGTGCTCCATCAAATGTAAGGCATTTCGCTCACGTGACATTATAAGATTCTTGATCATTTAATATAATGGGTTTCTTCCTATGCGCGGTATTTTGATCACTTATGAAAATGAAAATTTGTGCATATCAGACAACTTGTATTGGATGCTTATATCCCATTTGTAATTTTCTTCTTCAAAATATTAACTTAGTGACTTATTTGAGTAAGCTGTATTGCTTAAAAATAAATGAGAATTCACGACTTAAATTGACAGAAAGTGTAAGTAGTGGTCCAATTAGTAATCCGAGCAATTAAGACGTAGGCATGAACATCATAATTGACCGACAATCCAATTAAACATAGGCTGTGACATATAGTATATCATCAAAATGAAACATAGCTAGGCTACTCTAATCTTATGCCCAAATGTCTGGTAATTTAGCCGTCACGATGATAATAGAAGGTAACGTTGAGATATGCTATTTCCATCATATCCTGCTTGGATTCTCATATGACTATGCTAAGATTCTCGATGAAATTATAGTAAAGCTAGAAATTCAGTATGAACTCATACCTGCAGGATGAAACTCCTGGTTAGTAAACCAGAAGACCAACTTCTCGTTGACCGGAACTCTTCCGAGCAATATTTTGTCAGCGCGCATAAGAAGAAAATGGGGACTTAATTTGTGTCCATCTGGATAATTTGTAAAACCTTGTGCTACTCTAAGTCCTGATAATTTTGTTGGCTTAAGCCCCAGTGTTTTCGCCACTACTGAATTTGAGCCATCACATCCGATCACAACCTGTACATGCACAGCCAAGGTGTTGCATAACTTTTACAATATATAGCGTGACTACGTTGCGCAAAATTAAAAAAAAAAAGTGCATACCTTGGTTCTAATGATGCTCCCATCTTCGATGTGGATAATGGGAAACGAAGTAATAGGATCAATTTCAACTGCTACAATTTGGACCCCAAAGCGAATGGACTTTGAGGGCAGATTATCAGCTAGAGCTTCAATGAGATCTCTCCGTTTCACGCATTGGAACCCTTCTTTCCTAAAAGCGAAAAAAAAGCAGGATGTTTAAGATACTAGAATTTATGACACAGAGATGTGAAATTATCGTAACAATCGAGTAACATAAATCTTTTAAGGGCCTGGTTCGAGTATCAACTAAGGCGCATTTTCACGACTTCATGTATTTCTACCTTCATTCTCATGTAACGTTTCATCCCAATATGTAGAAACTTTAGATGCTCTAAGCGGAATTGCAGGAAACGTTTTCCTAACATCTAAACGAAGGATCTATTGCATAAATCAATTGGATTAAGAAAAAGGAAAAACGATTACCTCTTGATGAGTGTTCAAAGCCTTCTCTAATGGAGAGATTAAGAGTCTCACTTGAAAACTCCTCTAGTTGATCCACCCGAGCAAAGATCTGGATCCTTAGAAATCAACTGCTAGGTTGAAGATGAAAGGTTTTTGGGAGAGAAAGTAGTAACACTTTCACGTATATAGAGAAAGTGGAATTGGATTGGCTTTTCTAAAAGAAAAACCACTCTTATTTATAATCCACAAATTAAAGTCATATTTAATTCTATAATTAAATATAACCCACTAATTAAAGTCATATTTAATTCTATAATTAAATATTATCTTTTATAACATTTATAAATAAATTTATCCTTTATTTAACAATAACTCCTTATTATTAATAAACTCTATTTTGAAGTTATATCTTATATAACTTTATATTATATACTTTATATAATAATTCTCCCAATATATCCAGTCCATAAACTCTTAGGGTGTGACCTCGTAGGACCCAATTATAATAGCAATGAACTTTATAACATAAAGTCCATAAATCATAGTTGGCTTTTAGCAAAGCACTATGACTACCTAAAATAACCGGATTGTAAATCTCCATTAAATGTTGTTCGCTGGAAAATTCGTAGGTTTCTTTGTTATTGATTACATTGTCATCTTGAGTTACAAAAGATCCGGTCTTTTTATAAGATCCGGTTACAACGAAAATCAAATAAAAAAACAAGAGAGGAAGATCGCTCAACTAGAAAGACATGAGGGCTGAAATAGGCCTTTGGATGGGGGATATCTGTAGGGCAATTAAGAATGCTTATACGGGTCCGCGTTAGGCTCAAGCTGCGGTGTACAAACGGTTCGAGGATACAAGAAGCCAACGAGCTGCGACGAGATCGAAACGAATCGCATCAAGGGCGAGTGCGGAAATGCATATCCATACAGCCCTGGGACGGTGCGGGATCATATGCCGAAGTGTTCGAGCAGAGCTCAAACAAATGTGCTATCGCAAGCCAAAGGCTATAGCTCGGACGAAAGTGAGCGATGCGAGATCATCGCAAGGTCGGTTTCGGACTATCGCGAAGCTCAGCAAGCACCGTGGATTTACCTGGGCCTAAATGCGGCGAATCCGGATTTAACCTGCGGCCTCGAAATGCTAGATCAAGTCCAAATCAGAGGACTAAGTTAAATCAACATTCAAGCGGACGAGAGACCTCAATAGAGCGGATAACAGCCTAAAACCGCACCACCTACGAGACTGGGCTGCGGGTTCCGAAGCGCTGGGAGCCGAACTTCAGGTGGCCTGCAAGGAGGCGCATAGGCCGAGCGCAGACTCAGGGGTGGCGTACTGCCGCTCGGTGTCCCAGAGGCCGCAGGCCACCCGTGAGGTGGGTCGGCGCCGCTAGATGCTGTGTGGCGCTAAGGGCAGCGAGATCTTGAGTGGCGCATAATAACATAGGCGCTAGGCTATTGTTCATCTTTGGGGGGTTGGAGAATTTTGGAGAGAGGGGCGAAGCGGCGTCTCGCTGGAATTGGTAGAACTCGGAACTTAAAAAAATTGGAAACTTAGTTGGGACTGGTCGGGGGTCACTGTATGTCCTTCAGGATGACTGGTGGGTGTCGGCGATCATGTCACAGGTCATAGGCAGGTGGTTCAGAGAGATACAGGTATCTCAGTATCTAGGAGCACAGGCATACTCCGGTTATGCTAAGCTTGGTGCTTAGATTGGCCGAGGCGAGAGCTGTGGACGATTTTGTTTCGCATTTGGGTGAAAGCCGCGAATCCTCGGCCCGGCTATTATTTGCGCTTATGGTGAAATAATATCCCGTCCGTAGCTGGGCGTAGATACCGAGCCGGGATGCTAGATCTGCTAAGGCGGTGGGTCCACGGCAAATAAGCTGCCCCGGCGGCAGGCAAGAAGCGCGCACCTTAAGTGGCGAGGCGAAGCCGGCGAAAAGTCAGGAGCTTGGCGATTCCGTTTGCGGAGCATAAAAGGAGAAAAGTTGTAATCTTTGTTTATTTTTTATTTGATTTTGCCGTTTGTAACCATGAATCCTTATAAAAAGATCCGGATCTTTATTGTAAGCTGGCCCAAGAATGAAAATGGTAAATTCAAATAACAAAGAAACGCTACGAATTTTTCGGCATAGCGAAAACAACATTTTAATGCGGAGGATTTACACATCCGGTTATTTTAGGTAGTCATAGTGGCTCTTGCTAAAAAAGCCAAACTATGATTTATGGACTTTATAATGTTATTAGTAAGTTCATGTGGGCTAATTAATAATGTGGGTCTACGAGGGTTCAGCACCGCTAAGAGTTTATGGGACTGGATAGTATTTTTGGGAGAAATTATTATATAGTGAAGTATGATAATATCAAAAGTTATATAAGATCAATTAGGAACGTTCAAAAATATGGAATTTATGTAATCAATTAAAGGAGTTTCTTGTTCAAATAAAGGATCAAATTTTTATTTATAAATGTATAAAAGATAAGATGATTTAATTGTATAGATCATTACACTATGACGTTTAAAGTTAGTTGGGTTTATATGTTAAATTATAGAAAATTAAATATGACTTTTAAATTTGTGGATTATAAATACAAGAGTGGTTTTTCTTTTAGAAAAGGGCCAATCGCATTGGCCAGCCATTTCTGCTATATACGTGAGCAAGTGTTGACTACTGTTCTGCTCCGAAAATACTTTCGATCTTCAACCTAAGCAAGTTATGATTTCGTAAAGGATGCCAGAGTGCTTGCTCCGGTGGAGAGTTCAACTTAGAGAGTTTTCAAAGTGAGACTCTTAATCCTGCTGCTCACTTAGAAGAAGGCTTTGAAACACTCTATCAAGAGGTAACATTCGTTTTTTTTCCTTATTTGCTTTTAATCCAAGACTTTGATTCATGCAATAGATTGACTTCGTTTAGTATGTTAGGAAAAGCGTTTCGCTCGGCACATTCCGCGAAATTAGAGCATCACTAAGAGTTTCTACATATTGGGATGAAACGTTACAGTGAGAATGAAGCGTAGAATATAGCGATGAAGTCGTAGAATAGATGCGCAACTTAGTTGATACTCGAACCAGGCGCAGCTTAAAAGATTTATGTCTACATCGATTGTTACGCATAAGAATTTCAAATCGTCTGTGTCAGTAACATTGCTAGGTATCAGTAAAGCATCCTGGCTTTTTTTATTGCAGGCCTTTTAGGAAAGAAGGGTTCGCAAAATGCGTGAAACGGAGAGAATGCTGCATTGAAGGCTCAGCTGATAAATTCGTGCCGCATCAAAGTGCCATACTGCGCTTTGGGGG